TTATTATATTTATCTTAGAGAAGAATTTAAAAATTATGTATAAAAAAACTGTGCATGGCCAATTTTTTGTCAATGAATGTTCTTTGATCTACCGGCCCGTTTTAGATAATTTTATCGTCAAAAATGTTCATATTATGAGTGCAAGACCATTACAATCCAATCACAGAATCACGAAATCACTAAATATTTGTGTGTAAAAATTAGTAGAATTACTAATATAATTTGTTGAATCTATATCTCAGGAATTTTCACGACTTGTGCTTGACATAATAGTCTCATTGAGACAGTAATTGTAAAATCGGACTGATAGATCAAAAATTAATTATTATTGACGATTCTATATATTTTTAATATGGTAAGTCGCAGTTGAAGGGTATAGATTTCATAGTAAAAATCGACCATTACTTTCATATAATGCTGGAATGCCGAAAGTTTCTGTCAATATGTAATATTAATTTAGTTATAAAAGAGAAAATACCAATAACTCACGATCTACTACACCAATTTTAATAATTCTAGCACTATCAAGAAAAGTTTACTTGGCGTAAAAAAAACTTTCCCATGCATTCCAATTCTATAAAAAACTATATTAATTTTTGACAATTTCTACTATAAAATTTGCTATTTTTTACCCTTTAACTGCGATTTCCTCTTAAATTCTGTTTAAACTCTGATATCTCTAGAATTGGATAAATTTGATATCATTATATTTATCTTCAAGACATCATTATATTTATCTTCAAAAGATATATTAAATAGCATCAAATTTATCTATTCTAATCACCAGATTTTAAGATATCTCATCTACCTTATGTTACATGTATGGGTAACAAAATTTTATATATTTACAGTCCAAATTTGCACCAGCAGCCGTGAGAAGCTCTTGTATAGTGAAGATATCACCATCAGCATTAGGATTCATGGCCATCTAATCATGAGTAAGCAAATTTAACGACAAAATGCATAGTGAAAAAATAGGGCCTTAAAAAATTTGGACATACTCTAGTAGCATTTGTTATAGTTCTAAGACTTTTTCCATCGGAAGACAAGAGTTCACCGTCCATCAATCCGTTACGAAGCGCAATAGATGTGGCCTTCCCTCTTATAGAATGTTCAATCATGACCTTTATTTAAATAGGAATAGCAATAAATACTAAATTGCACGTGTAATAAATCATAAATGCACAGTAACCTACAGTATAATTTTCAATTCCAGCAATGTAAGATGGTGGCATAATTGTAGTTACATTGGCTGCTTTAGAAAAACATTGTTCTGATCGAGATTTTGCAGTTAAAAAACTGCAATTTGGTAATTTAGGATAATTCAATACATTTGCTCTCGTAGTAAAAAACGCAAAACTGGCGCCATCAGAAGGGTATTGAACTGCATATAAATATAATCAATATGAAAAAGACAAATGGCAATTAATATCGTGTAATGAACGAGAAATCACTATTCTCTAATATGTTAGCCATATGGATTGAGTAACTAAATAAGCTGAGTTTCATATGTGCTCTATTATTTAAATGATACGAATTATTTTCAACTAATTCATTAAATAATAATACGACAGGGTGAAACCCGCGCTGTAGATCACATGAGGGTGAAGTTCGCTTTTGCATAATAAAAAACGGCTAAACGCGGATTTCACCCTAACGTGATCTAGGATTTCATAATAATTAAATATCTTTGTATTTTTAATTTCTTATTTTTGCGTCAGACCATATTGATATTTTTTATTGTATGCCGTTTTTTATTGTATACCATTTAACGGAAAAGTTTTGTCACAAAATTGGATATTACATACTTTCATTAGCACTCCAAAAAACACATGGCAATTGTCCAGTGCAATAGGAAGGTGTGTAATCATTGTCAGGCTCTTTTAGTGTTGTTCGAACTGCACCGGGTACAGGAAGTTCCTACAAGTTTTAACAATATCTTAAATATTAGCAACAATTAATATCAGTATTGTACAATATAAAATCAAACAAGGAATACCTTTTTTAAGTAAAGTTCCGACGTTATGATCGAATATATAAGATAAATAATAATTGCAATTTGAAGAATGCGATGTAAAATGACCCATTGACTGAAAATAAATGCCATATTAATCATTATATAAAAACATTTATATCAGAAGATTTCGGGATATATGTCACTTACCTTTTTATTTTGACCAATCTAGAAGTTGTGAAGCTATAGAGAACAAATATAAATATCTATTTATACAGTATTATATGCTAACGTCGCTAAAAATTCTTCTTACGTAGTAATTTCCATGCAATTTTTCATGACTTTTGCAAATAAAAATGTATCGTACACTTAATTGATAAAGAATTAAAATTGAAGAAATTCTGCTATGATTTATTGTATCTGAAAAATAAAGTTAATGCAGATACGTATAATTATTTCAAGAGTTGTGTTACAGCATTACGTCTGTACGTACGTACGTTGCAGGAAATTTAAAAACCTCAATCTCCATGTTAAGGTGATGCATAAACTAGTAGCCCATTGAAAATAAATTTCTTAAATTATCAATCTCAATAGAGTGAAATAATGCGCCAAGAATAATATACACTTAAGTGGAACTGTTTTATGCATACGGCTGAAAGCTAAAATAAGCGCTACTTAATTTAGCTTAGATCCAATGCGTTGGTCGTTTTTGTTCTATACAAAGTGATTGGGGTTTTTAGATTTCTTGCACCATATGTACATATTCTGAATTTGCAAACAATGACGATAAAATTACGAAACGAATATATTAACGTTAAAGCCTCATTTTTATGTGTGCTTTAACGTTATTATTGGTATAGAATGCATAATTGTGACATCATTTAACACTATATGAATATGATAGCTTTAGCTAATAATATATGACAGCCTACTATACCAAGATAAGATCGATTATCCGTCTGTATAGAGATAATTACTACTATATATATGTTGTGCCTCAGACTAACGCTTGCCTCAGATGTCGATTTATTGGCCAGCATTAACTGATCGACATTGATTGGCCTAAATTATACCTTAATTCTTCCCAAATTCTTACCCTAATCCTAACCTAACTTAGGCCGATCGACATCTGAGGCAAGCGTTAATCTGAGGCACGACATATATATACGTATACAGTATCGATATTCTAATACCGATACATTACAGAGATGATTTCCTTAAATCATCGACTCAATAAAGTACGTACGTACTTGCATACTTATTGATGCATATAATTTAGGAAATACTTGATTTAGATAAGTTACTGTTACTTGTTTATAGTCTCGATTAGAGATGCATAAATCGGCTGATCGGCTTTATTACTATTGATTAATCGGTTTTTATTATACTGACGATCAGTCGATTTTGCATCTCTAGTCTAGATATAAGGAGATTGTGGTTTTAAATTTCTTGCACCGCATGTACGTTGGTACAGTGAAAAATGATGTAACGAAAACTAGTCTAATCATCTACAACATCTACAAGCGTCATTATACGCGGAGGTCCAACTAAATCTCCTAAACTCCTGTCTTTACACCCTAGCAGGTATGCTTCGATTGAGGCGTGGTTTGATTTAGTAAGAGAATAGGGTGTTTTACAATTTTACAATGGCTGCGGCGTTCGCAGTGACAAGACAATACAATTTATAAAATATGATAACGATGACAACTAAAGGAATACTCAATGGGGGACTACTACTATTATTCATTCGTATTTGAGCTCAAAGGTATGTCACTTTATTTGCAGTAGTTTTTCAAATCGGTTAACACATTTTTCTTTTACTAATGTACATTGCATTTTTCTACTGTAATACAATACTTTTTTTAGTAATCTCGGGTAGCTTAGCTTTCTAAAAGCGTGAACAAAAATATTAATGCTTTTACTTCGCCTTTCATAACTTACTTTTTTTTTTTTTTTTTTTGCAATCTGATTGGCTGATTCGTAGATGACTTACGATATGATTGGTCAACAATCACGTGTAGTCATTCTGAAATCATTTCCACATCCCATTTGGACGGTGTTACGCTAAAATTTTTCCTATCGATATGCTTATTTCTTGTAATCGTTATGGTTATTACTTTGTATGTAGATCATTACAACATTACATGTCGAAGTTATTACTGTACTTCATTTTCGGTAATTAGTACATTTTCCCCTCGATTCTTTTACCTCATAATATTATGTAATTGTGCTTATAGACATAGATATAAATGTATCGTTCTCCGGAAGAGTGTAATAATAGCTTCCGTACAGCATCTAATAAAATGCTTACCCCGCATAATTTAGGCTGCGCCCAAAGCAAATTTGCTAAACACAATTATCGCTCTCCAATTTTGGCGTAACAACAGTCCCTTCCCTCTGGACAGGTGGCATTTTTCCACAGCCATTTTACGAATTACCTTATAAAGTATCATGTCAGACTTATATAAAAATGGCTAAAACAAAGTTATTAAATGATATTGATGAACCTGCCAAAAAGCCTATAAGGGCATATTTAAGGAATGTCCCAGATCTACGTAGATTTAAAAGAATACACACACTAAATTCGTTAATTTTTTTGTCTTAATTTTTAACAGTTCGATTGGAAACAGATAATTTGAAAGAAAAACCTGTACCAAAATACATGTCAACCAATTTTATATTCGATGCTTCTTTAGCGAAGAATGCATTAAAGGGGGGTTTTTTTTTTAACAATATATGAATAATTCTGGATTCCTTATCTTTTTAGAAAAAAATTTTGTAAGTAATCCAGAGAAATTAACTAATGCTTTATCGAACTTGCGGATTTATTTTATATATCTTTCTTGTGCCCATTAACATACAAAATCAATTCAAATTCCAATAAAGTGTTCATATATCATAACTTTTGAATCCTCTTTTTGATTTATAAAAGATGTCTCTATGAAATCTCCCGGTCACGACTGTTTTTTAAATATTGAAAGATTCA